AGATAAAGTAGACTTCAGAACAAGGAATGTTATCAGATAAAGGCAGACATTTCACACTGCTGAAGGGTCAGTTCTTCAAGGACACAGTAATACTAAGTATATCTAAACCTAATGTTTGAATTTCAAAATACATGACACAAAAAATGATATAAGCAACAGGAGGAGTAATTACAGTTGAAGAGTTCAATGTTCCTCTCTCAGGAAATGATGGAACAGTAGGCAGAAATCAATAAGGATTCAGAAGACCTAAACAACAACCATCAACCAACTTGATTTAATTGACATTTATAAAACAGTCCACTGAACAGCAGCAGAATATTCATTCTTTCCAGGTACACTTAAAACATTCATCACAGCAGACCATATTCTGGGCCATAAATCAAGACTCCATACATTTAAGTGGACTGACATTGCATAGAGTGTGTTCTCTGCCCACAGCAGAAACGACAGAAAGATTACTTGGAAAATTCTCAACAGTTGGAAAGTAACACAAACAACACACTTCTAAATAACCAGTGGGTCCAAAACAATCACAGGGGAAACTGGAAAATATCTGAACTGAATGCAAATGAATACACGTCTCAAAACTTGTGGGATACAGCTAAACAAAACAAAAAAAGGACTCAATAACAAATTCATCTTACAGCCTATTTTAGCTGAACTGAATCTTTTTGGTAATGATTAAGTACGGGTCGTTGTTATCTATCTTACAGAAAGGACTTAATTCACTGACATTTACTGATATTCTCCTTAAAAGCAAAGATCTCGGCAGGCTGCTACAACGGATATGAAGAAAGAAAACACGTAGCCCCTTAATCTGTCATTAAAAAACTAAGGCCTGTCCCCAAACTCCACAGGCAAGACAGAGAGGATACAAAGGCTGTGTAAGTGGAGGCACACACCTCCGGGGCGGGATGATCGGGGGAGGCTGTGTGAAAGTGGCAGCATGCGGCTTGGGCCCAGAAGCCCGATGCTGGAGGGAGCTGTCGGAGCACAGAAAGGGCTCCAAGGAGAGCCAAGGACAAAGATGCAGGCAGCAGGGTCAGCCAATAGTTAGTTGGATATCGCCACCACACAGGTATCTTGTGGGAGAGGAAGCGCGGGACTTGAACGTGAGGGCCTAGAGTGATCCTCGGGTGGGACTTGGGGCCACAACCTGAGTTTGCGTCCTGGATCTGCTGCTGGTCGACCATGTGCCCCGGGCCCAATCGCTCCACTTTTCTCTGCTGTGAAGGATGGTGAAACGATCCCTGTCTGTCACTCAGGGTTGTTGTGGGAGAAACTGTGCCATCTACACGGGGAAGCATTGCATTCACAGGGAGGCGATGGGTGCTGCTGGCTTTGTGAGCTGATGGGCGGCACCAGGTGAAAAGGAAAAGCGCGTGGAGACAAGACTGCCCCAGGAGTGCAGGCGCGGAGGAGCCTGGCCTCAACCCCAAGGCTGTAGAGGAAGCACCAAGAAAGAGGCAGCTGAACAGAGGAGCCTCAGTGACTGACTGAGAAGGGGACATAAAGCCAGGGAGGAGCAAGATGGAACCTGGTTCTAAAGCAGTGGACACATGGGAAAATCTGACCCCCAAACAAGGATGGTAGAAAATATGGCTTATTTTGGTGAGAAGGCATAATGCTTCTAAACAAATTTACAGCCATACAATAAGCAGCAGTTGACCTCAGGGAGGGAAAAAAACCCATGAAAGAAAAATTTAATCCTAGAAACTATGCATCCATTCTAAAAGCATCTGGCAAACAACTTTTATCTACAATTATAGAAATACCATCCACTAAAACACTGCATCTGAATTTCACCATATCACTTCTAACACCTATACATTTCCACACATGTCCTGATTTTATTTGAAGGTTGCAAACACAATGCAAAGATTCACAAATGAGGACACTACAGGGAACAACTAATGTGTTATTACAGATGCACCAGAATTCACCATCAAATAAACCTTTGGTGCTGAGCTAACAGAGCCAAAGCAAGGAAAAAGTGAAAAAGATCAACATGGTGGTAAGAAAAAAAAAAAGTCACTGAATTCTCTGCTTAAAAAGAAAATCATCACTCTAGAAAGCTAGTGCCCTAAACCCACCATACATACAAACATAACAGAAACCACCATTCCGGAACACAGCTTAATCGTACGTATCAGCCATGGGCTGTGAATGAACACAATGCCAACCAGTGCCTCAGAATTCACTACCTATGGAGACCAGGCTGAAAAACACAGCTTTATTTCACCCCAGTAGAACTGTGACAAACAAGATGATCACTTCTCAAAAGGGTGACTGGAAACTATGTTTGAATAATGTCCACTGAAGTTAGCTCACATTTAAAATTCAGATGATTTCCAGATACAATATAGCACCCAAAGGGAAACTGGCTTCTATCTGAGAGCTGATTCCAGCAAACTCAATGGTGAAGGTTTGCTGTTTCGTGGGAAGTAAAGCTTTCCCAAACTTACCCAAGAGACTTTTAGAATAGTGTCTATTACACGCTCATTTATAAGCTCCTTCTAAGCTAATCTCAAGAGCTATTAAAGGTCCATCACTAGAGCTTTTGCTGACATACTGGATTTTTGCTCAAATCAGAGTCAGTGTAGAAAGTACACATGTAGAGAGAAGTTCTAACTAGCATCCTGGGAGTAGCTCATTCAACTTCCTTGCTGAAGCATGTTAAACAACCTCAACAGGCAATAAAAAGGGGAGGGAGGAGAGGGAAACATCTGGATAGGCTCCAGAGAACTCACCCGTGCAAAGTCAAACGCATATCTGTAAATAAGCTTAAAGTTTGTAGAATCATTTAATAATGATCTTAAGTAATCCAAAGTATTTCTGAGTTTTTCTGTTGTATCACATCTAGAAAAACAGAATAAAGGCAAATTATAACCCGAGTTTTTTCTGAAGTGGGGTAATAATATAAAACACAATACTGAAAGAATAAAAACCCTGGGGTTGGAAAACGTCCACAATGAGCTGTATTTTTCTATAAAGTTTTTATTTTAAAAAATTTCAAATGTACAGAAAAGTTGAAGGAATAGTAACTAAGCACCCACATGCCCACCTCGGTTCACCGTGAACATGGTCACGCTTGTGCGCCCCTCACACGTGCACTTTTTTCTGTACCACTCGCAAAGTACATTGCCAACATAATGCCACTTTACTCCTGAATGCTGAAATACCATCATCATTCTTAATATTCTAGAAACGTTAACTTTCTTAGCTAATACATGGCCAATGTGCAATTTCCCAACTGTTCCCCCAACTGTCTTTATAGCTGCTGCTTTTTTCCCATCTGGGATCCACTCAAAGCTCACGCATCACTTTCAGCTATCTCCTTAGTCTCTAGAAGGGTGTCCTGCCCTTTTTCTGTCTGTCTTGACAATGTCATTTTTAAAGAGACTAGACTTCTTGTTTTGCAGAATCTGTTTGTCAGGTAATTTCCCTGTGATTCCCTGAGGTTAAATGACACTCCACGTGATGTCCTTCTCAGTACACCCCCACGAGGCGGCTCATATGTCAGTGTGCCCTGTCACTGGTGATACCGCCAGAATACCATTTGGTGAAGGTAATGTCCGCCAGTCTCCACTTAATGGTACTCTTCCCCACTCTGAAACAGGACGTAATCTGGGGATGATTCCTTGAGACTGTGACTCCTGTTCCTCAGCAACCTCTCACCGGGTGGTTTTAACATCTGCTGAGGATCCCTCCTGAATCCATTTTACATTTGAAGACGCAGAATGGTGGTGTTTCTAACTCTATCATGTTTTTACGCTTCTGGCTGGAACTGTTCTAGAAAGAAGAGTTTTGCACACCACCTTTCTTATCTTCTGGACTTAAAGATTTTTGCTGTTCATTCAGGGTTGTCATCTGTTACTGTCTTCATTCTTTTTGATGCACAAATCGTCCTCACTTGGGCAGTGGCCCCTTCGAGCTGCCCAGGGTCCTTCTGACGTGTCCCCAACAGTCTCTGAGCATGTCCTTGCTTTCTGGCACAAAATATTCCAGCTCACCTTGTACTCTCTCTAGCCTAGACTGAATCAGCCATTTCTCCAGGGAGCCCTGGTGATGATAACCTATTTTCACAAGTCAGTGACATACTGTTTATTTTCCTTAAGAAAGTAGACTAACTGGTTATTTTACAAACTAATTTTCTGTTCATAATATCTAGCCCTTAACAATGAGAACCAAGAGTCACTGTTTTCACTGGCGATGTGAAAGCTTTTCAATGCTGAATATGTTTCCTTGTGTTTCTCTGTAGAGCTGCTACCTACTAAGTATGGATAATACATATTACAGATATTATCAATGTAAGTATTTAAATACTTTATAAATTAAAATATGGTTCATAACAGAGAACACTGATGTATTTTTAGCAATAAGTTTGTGAAAGCTTTTTTGTAGCTATCTACAAAAAGTCTTCCTGATCCACTGAGATGATAAAATATCTAAAAGCCAAAAGTTAAGGTAAATGTATCATTTCTATGAGTCTACAACAATTTAGAATGTCCTTTATTTCTTCATGTTTGAAAATTTAAAAAGATTAAAATTAGACAATTTTAGAAGTCAGAAAAGGTTCTTTTAAGGGACTGACGTGTAAGCTGAGAGCTGAAAGATAAGTGGAAACTAGATGTTTTTGGAAGAGAGGGCTTTCCAGATTACAGGACAGTATGTGCAAAGGCCCAGTGGCAGAAGGGAGCATACCAAGTCCAAAGACTAAAAGAAAACCATTTTGACTAGACTGGGTAGAGTAAGAGGGTAAGTGGTACAAGATGAAGCTGAAATGGAGTCAGACCACAAAGGGTTTTGGTGGTGCACAGTGGGTTTTTGGATTCGGGTTTTTTTTTTTTAAATCCTGGAAACAATGGAAGCCACCCCCTACCATGGGAGAGACCATAACCAGGCTTCCATTCTGAAAAGCCCATTCTGGATCTGTGTGTAGAAGGGTTAGGAAAGGAAAAAAAGAGACACTGATTGATAACGTAGTTAGAGATCTAATGCCAGAACTGAAATGAGGGTGATGAAGGCTAAATGGATACACAAGAACGCAGTGAGTGGGGGTCTCAGAGGCAGGAGTGGGAGCAGGGCTTACGTCGCGTTGGGCACTCTACCATATGGTTTGATTTTCCCAGCATGTACATAAATAACATATTTTATTAGTAGTAACATGGGGGATGGTCAAAGAGGAGGGAAATCAGCTAACCCCAAAACATCTAAGGCCAAGGTTCCCCGGCTCCCAGGAAGAAGAGCAGTTGTTTGTTTCAACTGATTCTAGAGCAGGAACCACTCATTTATACAACCGCTGCACGGCTAAAAGAAAGTAAAGTCGTCTCAAGACAAAACATGAAGTTCTGCAGCATGCCTGGGAGTGAGTCCAGCCACGCTGGCAAAAGACATCAAGAAAGACGCTCACAGATCTTGTCTGGTGTGTCAAGCATAAACTGCCCAAAGTAGATTTTTCACATCATGTATCACTAAGGATGGTTACATGGGTTAGAGATGATACTGTCAATAAAGAGTTCAACCTGCTTTTAAAGGGGCTTTGTCTCATGGAGCTGTGGACTAACCCCCACCAAGGAGACAGCTGCTAAGTCCCCAGGTCGGAACCGCAGGCTGCCACCTAGTGGGCACTCGACAAGGCCACCTGCAGAGGGACTTGTTAGAACAAAGGGGCTGTGAAGAACCAGGCCTGGCCTGAGACTTTTTGAAAGCAGCCACATCATTTAACCCACTTCCCCTGGCTTTTCTGTGTACCACAAATAAGAAAACTTGTGGGAGTCGTAGAGTGACAGTGCCACACCGCTGAGGAGCATCATTTCTCACAACAAAATATGCATGTATTATGGAATCATGGCTTTTTTGAGCTTTGCTGCTGTAACACATTCAGAAGCAACAGGAATCCGGTCAATAATCCTCAAAGGTTACAAAGTCAAAGGCAGTTCTACCCCACGACCCTGGGACAGGCTTCGCCCCTTCACTGAGTCAGCCCAAAGGTATTTTCCCAGTCCATCATTGCTTCTATGCAAAGTTAGCTGCAACTCTAACACACTTTATTTTTTTCGGTTTGGTTTTATTTACCTTAAACATCCCTGTAAGCTTAATTCATCAGGGGTAACCTTAAACTCACATGTTGGAATGAGGCAATAAATGAAATAGTCGATTAAAACAAGAGCTGTGGCCTTCTCTGACTGAGAGGGACCCTGGGAGCCCAGGGATGGACGTCCCCTACCAGCTGCCGTCACTTCTTCCAAGACTCTCACAAGACGTGGCCCTGGAGAGGCCAAGCTCACCACTGCTCTAGACAGCGTCAAGGAGACTGACTTCGGGTGCCCAGGGGAAGCCACATGTCATCACTTCACCACCCTGGTTTCAGGGACGCTTCCAGGGACACCAGGGAGTGGCACAACTGATTCAAAACGTCTGGTGCCAAAACTCATGGGCTTCTGATTTCTAGCATGCTCCTATTGTACGGTAATAATTTTTTTAGAAAGGTTTTGTTAAATACACTTTAATTACAGATTGAGCCCCAAAAAGTTCACTGGACAGGTTTAATAAAGCCAAAAATGAGCAAAAAAGGAAAAACAGAAGACAAAACAGATCATTCAAAGATGAACTACTTGCCATCTTTAGAGCATAGAAATGATTAGCCTCTGAGTTTTCTTATTTACTGGGTGCACATACCTTGTACATTCAGTACTTGGTTAGTTAATTCAAGCAGCATAAAGAGAAATGACCTATTACTACTTTTGGATGTTTTGCCTGAACACTGCTTCCAAGCTCCTGCCCCAAATGGACTTTGTCTTGTTCCTGGCTTTTGTTTCCCAGGACCTAGAATACTGTGCTTGGCACATCACTACCATTTAAATATTTGCAGAACAAATGACGAATCTAGGAAGGCAGGAAGGAGAGGAGGGGCAGAAGTTCTTAAAACTTGAAATTGCACTATTTTTGAACTACAAAGAACCCTAAAGGTTATTCTGAGTAATCATCTTCACTTCGTTGATAAGGAATCTAATCTCAGACTTTCACATGAAGAAAGAAAGCAGCTTCCTCAGTTCCTTTACAGTGGCTCAGGCTTGTCACCGCATCATGAAGTGCAAGGACCCCGTGGCAGCATTCTACAGGAACCCACCTGCCACCTCCTGTGTCACAGAGAGTGGCGAGCAGACTTACCGACAGAGTTTGCAGAACGCCCCCAACCCTGGGCCCCTCCCTGTGAACGTACAAATAGACTTCTTCCAGGAAACTGTGTATTTCAATTCCCAGATGATGTGATCCTTAAAAAGTGGGCAAGGCCTGGCAATGTGTAATATTCTTTGTAAAGGCAAATGTAAAAAAGAATCTAGAACAATACAAAAACGGATATTATACTCTCTTAAGACAAATAGAAATGTGCCTGAAAAAATGTTGATGGCACCTCCTCAAAAGCCTTGAATGAAATCTTAGTTTGGCTGTGCATTCATCATAACAAGGATCCTTAAAAAAAAAAAAAGCAGCCATCGTGCGCTCTATTTGGAAAGCAACAAAGAGAGGCAGCGTGGAGAGCAATGCAAGGGTTAGAAGGTTTAAAATCGCAAGGAGATGTTCCCCAACACAACAAACACAATTTTGAGAGATTTCAGAGACTAACCCCAAAATTCTAGAGCAGGCTGAGAGGAAAGTGCATTTGTAAAAGGGTGATTTGGCTTTTATTTAAAATTCATTTGTCATCAGGCAACAGTTGTTAGAGGAAGAATGTGACTTAAGAATCAGAAGTCTTAGGTTTTCTTCCCATTCCTATCACTTACTTTCAGAAATCACGAATCCCCTCTAAGCCTCAGTTTCCTCATCTGTAAAATGTGCAGAAAAAAGCCTGAGCTGTCGCGGGAGCCGTGAGGCTCAAATGTGAAAAGTCCTCACAAACTAAGGCACAGTGCAAATAAAGCATTATTACCAGGAGTAAATGGTCAATGATATTAAAAGTTGATCAGTTCCAAAATTATTTAAATAAAGCCATAAAACCATTTCGATTCCAATTTCAATCCAGGAAAACTAAAGTCTATTATTCCTGGTTCAAGTGAAAAGAAGAAGAGAAGTCCTTTCAAGCACTTCAGTTCCTACAGAAAGAATGAGCACTCCTCTACCAGCATCATCTGAAACGTTTTACCATCCACCTCAAGTGTGTCTTTCCCCGGATGACAGAGAAGAACAATTTGTGTTTTCTTAAGTGAAACTCTTGGCAAGCACATAGGTAAACAACACACAGATACATATGCATGCAAGCACAAGTGAACACAAAAAACCACTGACTTTCCTCATTCTGGCCCAGGTAACAAAAACGGAATGCTTACCGTTACTATTTTTTTAATCACTAGGGTAAGGAAGTTCTAACTGTGCCCAGAGCTAATATCAGAATATATAAAATAAAAGATAACAAATATCTTCACTTAAAAGTTATACTTTACTCAATTGTTTCTCACTAACTGTACAGTAGGTGCTAATACTCTGATTTTTAAGCTCTAAACCTGTGCAGTCCGATACAGAAGACACTAGACACACGTGGGTATGGAGCACCTGAAACATAGCTAATGAAAACTGACGTGCTCTGCAAATGTAAAATATACACACCGGATTTTGAAGTTTTAATATGAAAAAAGAAGGTAAAATAACTCACTGATTTTTAAAATATTGATTATATGTTGGAATGATAATATTTTAGATGTTGTGGGTTAAATAAAATATACTAAAATGAATTTTACCTGTTTCTTTTTAATGTGGCTATTAGAAAATTTTAAATTACCTTTGAGGCTCACATATATGAGAAAAGGATGGCCTATTTTTATCGAGCTGCTCTAGAACACTAAAATAAACAATATACATTATATAAAGACCTTAATTGCTAAAATTCATCCATAATAGCCCTCCTCATCGTATAAAAATGGGGCTTAGTCTTTACACCTTTGGCCACAGATGAAGCCTGCCCGCGGCACCTGGCTTTCCTCCAGTCACCCAACCAGGGCTCGCCGAGATCCCAGCGCGGAGGCAGCCAGCAGGGAGAGGAGACCCCCGCCCGCCTGCCCCAGTGCAGCCTCAGGACTTACTGTAGAGAAGTCATTCCTTTTAACCATTCCTGTAGAGTAAAATAACCCATGTTTTGTGCATCCAATTTCCAAGCTAGGACAAGCATAACTACCTGTTTAAAAACAAAACAAAACAGAAAGACCAATCAAATCAGGAGGACAGAGCTCAGCAAGTAAACACACGAATACCATGCCAAACGCTCCTGTTCATGGTAGTTTAGTCCCTGAAACATGAACAGGGTAACTTCACAAATGAGTTCTAGTTTTGGGAGGAGGATACAGCTCAGTGGTACAGTACATGCACAAGGTCCTCGGTTCAATCCCCAGTGCCTCCATTAAAAAATAAACAAACAAACAAACAAACAAATAAATAAAAATGAGGTCCCACCCAAAAAATGAGTTCCAGTTTGGCAAACATCCAAGAGTTTGATAATTCAGTCCACTGACAAGGGCTTGAAGAAACATGAACTCTTATGATGCATAACGGTGGAAGTATAAGGGGCAATTCTCCCGAGGGCAATTCTACAGTATCTACCCAAATGGAAGCCAATTACTGACTCTGCAGTTTCACCAATGGAAACTTATAGACACACCAGCACAGGTACACAAAGATGTCTACTCAACCATATTCACTATAGTACTATTAGTAGTCATAAAAGATTAAAAACAACCAAACGTCTAATAATAAAGGACTTCTTAAATACTTCTTTGCTAAACACATTCCATACAAAATAGTACTCTGCCAATAGCAAGACAAATGAGTGGAGCCATCCGCACAAATATGGAACAGTTTCCAAGATCTGTTAAGTGAAAATGAAGAAAGCAAGGTGCAGAACCAAAAAGGCAGGCGGTAGGGAGCTGTATCACAAACACATCAATGTTTGCGAAGTCAACTACCTATATAGGGATGGGGGTGACGGGGGAGGTTTTATTTTAAAGCAGCTTAACACTCCACTTCAACAGCACCAGTCCTGGAACGGGCACAGGGTGAGTGACAGCCCAGACAATTCTCAGTGGGGCACTGCCCTCACTTTCAGTGGCTCTTCTGAAACTCTGCAGATATCAGGAACGGTGACAACTCTGGGTTTTGGCACTGCTCATCACTTTTTCACTTGGCTGCTTTGGAAAAGGTGGCACCAAGATAGTGATGATGAGTTTAATAAACACCTGAGGTATAAAAGACAAAATGACATTTCAAAGGCGCCTCCAGCTGCAAGCTCTCCAGGGCTCTGCACAGGGACAGGACTGAGGCCGTCCCAGATTTGGGGAAAGAGGAAGCCCTCTCACCTCATCTACCTCAAAGACTCAGGATAAGATGAAGAGTAACTGAAAAAGGAAGTGAGCCCCTCCTAGAGAGGTGAAGAAGACAGGGCCTTCCCAGTCCTGCCACTCTGCAGGGCTGATCACCTCTGGACAGTTGTTCATACATAAGGGAACCCAAATGCGAAGTTGGACATCACGTCTACACTGCTGAATGGCTGTATCTCCATTCGTTGTTATTAAAAAAAAAAAAGGCAGTGGGAAGAAAATAAATATTTCTGGAATACAGCTGGCCAGAGACTAGCATACTTGGCATTTAGCAGTTAATCCGATTTCTTTATACTGGACCTAACGGTTTCATTTCAACTACTAGAAGAACTGCCCCAAACCATTAAACCACAACCCATGTGCCCAACTGGGTCAGCTGATGGTGTTAGTGAAAGGAATCCGGCTGATATAACATGAAAAAATGAGGCGAGCAGCCACTCAGAAATCACTTTAGATGATTTAATTAGCCTCAAGAGCCAACAGGCACGTTACGAACTCCAGAACAGCAGCATTCAGGAGATCCAGAAGGTCTATCCTTTTAACTGCCAACAAGCTGGTCTGTAGACTAAAACTCTCAAGCTTTGTCTAATTTATAACTGGAAGATTAATAAAAAGCTTTCTCTTGATGCTGACTTAATGATTTTCTATGCTGGAAATTAACACCAGTGAGAACCCACTAATCTCTAGGACCGTTCATCAAATATCAGTTAAATCAGTACATATCTTTTTTTAAAGTCACTAGGTTTTCTAGACTTTAAAAATCTAAATTATTGGGTAGATTACTAGGACTGATAAGTGAACCAACTTTCCTACATGTTGTGCACATCACAAAATATGATTGTTAAATAGGTTAAAAATGGTGACTTAAAGAGACCAATGGCCTAAGACGAATTTCCCAAAAAGAAGAGGTTACAAGTTCTTCAAACTCTTCACACATAGAGGACTTTTCTCCCCGTCCCTCGGCTTTTCTTGGAACTCTGACTCCTGTATATCAACTTATCTAGTGAACTAACCCACATTTCCTAATTCAAACTTGGTATTTTCTCCAACAGTATCTACACTCAATTCTCTATTAGAAAGTTTTAAAATTCCATATTAAACACTTCTTAAGTTAAAAACAAATGATTATGGTAAAGGAACACACATACACACAAGTATGTATGAAATGCGGCCAAACAGCCAAAGCAGAGATTTGTAGCGGGTATTTCTTTACACAAAAGAGATCTTATATCAGGACAGCTAATAAGAAAGCTAATTACTTAAAGGATTTTGCTGCTACCTTAGTAAATGAAAGCTGACCTGAATTTTACAAGCCTGCTTATATTTCATAAGCTATAAATATCAGGCCAGGTGAGGGTTTTAAATACTTTAAAGTGCTTACTCATCAATGCAGACAAGCCTTTAAAAATCTACTTCAGCGCTGGTTTTCAAACAACTTCTGAAACTGGGATGTATCCACAATTGATGGCTTATCAGAATTTATTCAGCAACGTTTTTCCTTTTTAGTGATGATATAAAATAATAAAACTTCTATTAGCGGCATCTTCTAATTGAAGTGCAGTAATAAGTACTTTGGAATAATAATCTAGATTCAGTCTTTCAGCCTTCAGCATGATTCAACATTTCAAGACTATTTCTATTCCTACAGAAATACAGCACTAAAGGACTCACCACTGCCAAAAAGGGATAATAACGGCAGCTTTTTTTTTTTTTTTTGAGTACTGGTGTCTTGGGGTGAGGAACTTTCAAGGCCAGGCCTCCCTTTTTCCCCCAGTTAGAATCTGCCCCTGAGAGTAAGTGCCCCCCGCATCCCTCTCCCAGTCTCCTCCCATCGGCCCCGCTGCCCACCCCTCTGATCATCGCCGATCACTGTCCCCTGGTGGACCCTCTGGACCTCCTCTCAGGCCCGGCTCACCCTCACCTCTCTTGCACTCCTGTCCGGAAGACACTGCCGACTTTGGCCAGGCCCCCGTCTGAACACTTCCTTCTGAAAGTCAGCGACATGTTCTTGTCTGTCTAGGACTAGTCTATGGACCAGATCAAGCAAAACACTACCGACCCAGTTGTCCCTAAACCTTTGCAGACCAAACTGAATAATTTATCAAGATACCTGAACTAGATCACATTAAAATTAAAAATACAAGACAAAAATCCATGTAGTAAATTAAAGACGGTCCAAAGGCTCTTTAGAAAGTTTAAAGTGTTACTGGGGGCAAGCGGGGGAGGACGGAAGCATAGAAATGGTAACAAGAAATTTTTTAAGAAAAAAGTGTGAGGTCTTAAAGAAGAGCGTGACGTATATGCATGGGCCCCAGATACCCTGCCGACAGTGTGAATGAAGGGATGATCCCTTGAGATCTCTTCCGGAATCACAAATTCATTTAGGATCTAAGACGCATTTGTTAAATTGGAGGCTGATGTAAATTAAACTGCATAGTTAATGAGTCAGGGCATTTGTCTAATTTTTCATTTTAGAGTAAGAGAGAAGATGTGGGAATAGGAAAAAAATTCAACAATAACATGATGATAAGAATTAGGCAAAAACAATGAAGCATATAAAAAACTTCAAATTAAATTTTTTAAAGGAAATACTTAGGGCTTTTAAAAAAGCAATCACTTTCTGAGCTAAATTCAATTGGAAGTAAAAGAGCTGTGAGAAATTCTTGATAATTACAACCTACTCAAAACCCTTATGAAGGAATAATTTATTCAAAGTCCTGTACAAACTCTACATGAGGCTGGAACAACTACAGAGGGGGACAAAGATATACAACACCGTCGGTGCCCCCGCTGATCTGTCACTGTAGGTACACATGCCCATACTGCTTTTTAAACATCTAGTTTAATTACTTTATTACTAAACCTTTTAGAGACAAGAAATTAAATGAGAGGGAAAAATGACCGACTGTAGTTACACCATATCAATTGCAACAAAAAATTCTGCTTGCAAATCAAGTTAGAATTGGAACTTAGTTCTTAGATTGCCTCATAAAAACTAACACATCATTACTTCTTTATTGTTGCTTTATTTGCTGAGGGACAAAATCAGATCAACTGATTGCCCAACTTGGTAAGTTAGACTTACATTTTCTGGTTCGACACCAATGTCTTCACAAAATTTCTCCATGCCTTCAGGACCTACAACATCATCAGTACCTGTGATGAAATGCAATCTCATATAAATTAAATCTAACCACGTACACTATTACTATTGTAGTAGTAGTATACTGTCCGAATATTTACTATTAAAGTCAAGTCAGATCAAATAATGCTTAAAGACCATAAATCTTCTCTGAAGAAAGAAATCACCAATTTGAAAAATATTCTGGAATTTCAGCTCTCTTTAAAGGACCCTGCTCTGCACAATCATTTAAGTCAATTCAATTCACCAAGTCCCTCAACCTATGGATATATGTACATATAATTTATGTCTAAAGATACGGTTACATGAATTCAGTTCCTGTTCTTTAATGTAGGTTAAATCTCTATTCTTATTTCAATACATACAATAATTTTTGGAAACACAGCAAAGAACCACCTAATATTCTTTATAAAATTAATTGGGAAATAGCAGTTGTTTCTTTTACACAGGAAAAAAAAAAGCCAGCAGTCTTTCTGTTCTGGAGAAGAAAATAAACCCTTTCTCCCCACTCCGTTAGCTCCGCTTCTTCCTGAAAGAACTGCCCACACGTCCCATCTCTACCGTAGCTCTGTTCACTCTCCAACCCTACGGTCTGGGTTTGCTCCTATCTCTCTATGAATCTCTTCCTGTCTAGGTCACTGGTAAGCTTCTAATCGCCAAATCTAGTGGACAGTCAATCTTCGTTTTATTTGACTTCTCTGTGATATCCGAAAATTGTGAAGCAGTTCTTTCTTCACACAACTGTCCCCTCCCACGACTCTGGAAGGGCCCTGTCTCTCTCCTCTTCTGGCTTCTCTTTGCTTCTTCAACATATTGAACCCGACGTGCAGAGTTCCGTGCGGAAACCTCTTCTGGCCCACTCTAGTAGGAAACTCCCCCTGCACCCGAGGTTTCAGATCTCTCCCCCACTTACTTCTGGACTGTCTACTACATCGCCGTCTGGCTTCCCACCTCCTGTTTAACTGCCACAACTAAACGCACCTTCTGCCCCAAATCTGCTTCTCCTGCATTTCACATTTGCAACCACCACCGCACTGAGCTGATCATCTCTCCTCGCGAAACCTGTGAGATTATCCTCCTGTCTTGTCTCAGCTGGGGGCACCGCCAGAAATAGAAACCCGGGCGTCATCCTGGAGTCCTCCTTTCTCCTACATTCTGCAGAGTCAATCAATTATCCAGTGTGCCACCAATTTTACTTCCCAAATATTTCTTAACTGCACCTGTTGGGCCCTGACCTGTCCAGACATCATTCTCTCCCTCAGATGACCCCAGCAGTCTCCTCAGGATGACCCTAATTCCAGAGCTCCATCCCCCTCTGATCCATCCTGCACACAGTCACCTAGAAGGGCAATCTCAAACACAAACCCCATCCTGGCTTAAAATCCTTCGATGCTCCCTACCACCTATGGATGAAGTCCAAAGTCTCCGGCGTATCAAATAAGGTTCTCGATGATGTACTGCCTCCCTTCCTCATCAGCCTGAGGGCTTTCCACCTTTAAACTAGTTTCTGGGAAACAAATCCATCAAATAAATATTGCTTAATGAAAAATGAAGATCCAGAAACTACCCATGGTTTGCTTGCACACACATCCTGACACACACCCAACACCAGACTACTCTCTGTGGCCTCAGCCACGTGACCCCCACCTTCCTATGCAAGCTCCTTCCATCTTTAAGACTGGAACCAGACAGGCAGTCCTTGCTATTTCCCACCACCTCCAGCAGAGGCTGGGCCAGGCAGTTCTCCTGACCCCCTGGAACGCTAGGAGTGCTTTTCTTGCATTTGCTTTAAGTCCCAGCTCACCTGTCTTTCCTTCTAAGTTCTTCAAGATTAAGGGCTATTTGTTCTATAGCTTATAGTGTAAGCATACCGCCTGGAACAAAGTAGTTGCTCAATAAAGTTCACTGAATGAATGAATGAATGAATGAATACCAGAATCACTCTACAGTCCTCCACAGCATCTAGATCTAGTCAGTCGCCAAGTCCAGCAGGACCCACCATCTTAAAACGTCTTAGTTTCATTCAGATAATATGTGCTGGGCACACCCTGGAACTATGTCCTGTCAAAGTGGCGAAAGAGGAATGATACATGATCCCTGACTTCCAGGAAAGCTTAAGAGTAATTTCTATACAAAGTAATAACTCAATCACAATAGAAGTATAAACGGTTGTTCTCAAGGAAGGATGAATATTAAAATCACCTTGGGTGCAGGTTGTTAAGACTTGTGTCATGTCTCTGCTTCCAATTTTAGCTCCCCTAAAGTCAAAACTCAGCTCTTCCTCTTAATCTGGCCAGAGCAAATACTTTTTCTGCATGTGCTATTTTCTTTTAATCACAAATGGGCTACTTTGTTATAAAAAATTTTGTTTGACATATCCAAATCTGTTACTTTTTTCCAGTACTTTCTTTTTCCTCCTTTTATTTGACATGTTTTTCTAGATATTCTTAATTTCCTTTCCTTGATTATTACGGGAAAATCAAATAAAAAAAGCATATTTAATTTTTAATTTGGCTTTTTGGGGCAACATTAATCCATGAACATCACACAAAATTTCACTTAAAAGTAAAATTAAAAATCAAAATGTTTAAAAAAGCAAAGGTTTCCCCTCTAACCTCTCCCTACTCCCCAGAGACAACTATTTATGAAAGAGTTTCCTGAAGAACCCTTCCCCAAATAAGGCATTTTACAGAATTCTACATGCATGAAATAGATACTAGTTTCTACGTTTTTCACGCAATTTTCTTTGACCTTCCAGGTACAATAATTCAATCATCTTATCTTCAACAATGATCATTTTTACCACCTCCTTTCCTATATTTATGCCCCTTCTTTTTCTCTCATCTAGCAGCACTAGTTAATAACTTCCAAAACAATGGCAAATAAGAAAGTGAGAGTGGCATCCTTATCTCATTCTTGACTCAAATGGGATTAGTCAGCACTTCACCATTTGAGGCTGAGAGTGTGCATGCCCACAAGTGAACACTCGTGTAAATTACACAAACCATACATGCATACATTCACACGGTGAAATGTTCAAACAAAGAAGTCCAAGTAAAGTGGAGTAAACAGAGAGACTGCCTTCTCCCCTTCCTCACCGTTTAGGCATGTAGCCCCCCAGACCTTTCTGCTATGTATTTATGCATGTGCAAAAACACAATGAAATGCAGTTCTGGATTTGTCTATCTGCACACATGGGTTCGTGCTGTACCTACCAAATCTTCACCCTGCTCTGTCCACTACATGCCTGATAACCCTCTTGCGAGAACACCTGGCTGACACACTTTGCATCACTCACTGTAGCTGACCCATGTGTATCCACGTTTCATAGTTCTCCTCAATCCACTCCTATAAAGTACTCAGTGAGATTAAAGAATCATTATCCTCAGATGAGAGTATTCATCTATTCCTATTTTGCTAGGAAGTTCTGTTTTTAGGAACAGGTGCCTCTTTGGTATATACTGATGGGACTTCTTGGGACGTGGCTGCATAGAGCGGAGGAAAAAAAAGGTACTTCATAATCTTGTCTTTGGTTTCTATTCTTCATCTTCACTGCAAACTATTCTTGAGTCTAGCAAGCCACCTGCCCTACGTGCTGGCTGTGCTCAAGGCCTGAGGGTCTCTGAGCAACCCGGCCTCCTCTCCGGGTGAATGCTCATTGCAAGGACGACGTTCCTCCATTGGTTGGTCTGTCTGTCTGTCTGCCTGCCACACTAGAAAATGAGCTCCAAGCACAGTGCTTCCGTCATCCACACCCCAGAGTCTGGCACGCAGCGAGCCCGCAAAGGTCTGCTGAGGTGTGCTGGGCAGTGGTGATGCCAAGTTACCCCTTTTGTTCTTCTTCCCACCTTTTATGCAATGCCATTGTCATACTGCTTATATACACTTGCATCTGTGTGTTTTAAAAGAATAAGGCTTTAACAGGGTGATCTGCAATGGCATGACTCATACTACTTTAATATTTTACCCTAAATATGTTAATACAGCTCATCGGTCAACATCACTTACAGGCTGCCCGTAATCCTGCCATCTACCACAGCGTTCCCTTTGTTCTCATTATCTTTCCTGAGCACACATTTAGATCTAGTCGTAATCACGCTGTTCACTGAGAGTATGGATGTGTTTACACTAGATTTATCAATTCACCTGCAGAATTGAGCAATCTTAATCTAATAAATATGCCACTGGCTAACACAAAGTGGATTAAAAGTGAGGTTTGAGGGAGATGGTTTAAAAAAGTTATATCTGAAATAATAAGCTATAGAATGCCCTGGTGACAAGATACTGGAGGTATATTTGGAAAGTGGATGCACCAAAAATAATCTCAAAAAAAGTGGTCCTCCCACTCCCACTGACATTTCAAGCAGGGGCCCCGCACTAAATATATTTAAGCTTTTTGTGATGGCCCAAGACCCTCATGGTAGTTTCCGTAATTACACCATGGTGCACCACTGAAGCAAACAGGCCATGCCGTCTCCTTCACTGACAGACCACTTTGCCACTGAGCACCTGCTCCTGGTCCCTAATCTCATTTCAGTGAACACTTCTGCTGTAGAACCTAATCCAAAGGAGAGAGGAAGAGCCCACAGTCAGGACTCGCAGAACTTTTACAACCAACACGTGTGAACTTTAGTGTGGCTCTGAAATCAATGTTGGCACTTGTATATTTGGCCTAACCTCTTATTCCTAGATATATTTTGGAAAGAATTTGTTAGATAGATCATTTACGTAAAACTTTTTATGCAATGGAAAGAAACTGGATTCCACTTTCAGATGAAGGTCTAAACAACACACTCCCTCTGCCAATCCTTTCTAAAGTCACAGAGAACCAAAGTACGAAAGAGAGTAAACCTACAACCACAGAGAGCAGGACCAGAGCCCCAGTGGAGCAGGTTACATGTATTAAATTTCTGATAATTAGAAATTAAGTTGAGAGGGATTTAAAAAGGTGAGAGGCTGCGTCATAGAACGCGTGGGGCTAACTGGCCAGGCAGGAGCTGGGAGGAGCTGGGCTCAGGCTGCAGGAGCCGCAGAGCGCAGAGGGCAGAGGCTGAGGTGAGGGGTGGAACTGAGAACTCTGGGAAGAACTAAGGTCCGCCCATGTAGAACAACGACACCACCGAGGCCCCTCCCACCCTCCACTCCACTCCGGGTGCACTGCAGGGAGGCAGCCAAAGCCAGGTGGCTCTCTCCAAGGGAGCATGCGAACAGCACAGTGGGACAGGCCCCTCGCCCGAGCATCGGGGGCCGTGGCCTCATCGCCTGCTACCACACGCTCGCCCAGAGCACAACCTGTCTGCCTTCCTGGGACATCTCACCATTCGTTTTTCTTGAATAATACTGATCTACAGTGTTTATTCATGTGGTTGGGATATTAAAAATGAAAGCAGGTGCTAGTTGGGGCTTTTAATTCCCAATTTCAAGCCATTTTCCCTACCAATAAGATATAAAGAAAAGAAGCAAAAGAAGGGTGGGTGGTTAATAAAAACATGGATAGTCACACCCACAGAAACTTCTTGCAGTGATGAAACCACAAGGAACCACCTCACAGGGACCTCAAGGAGCCTAAAGAATGTGGCTTAATCTTTGTCCTAAATGTCACCTTTCTGAGCTAGAGAAAAGCAAACAAGAAGGAAAACTGTAGCCTGCTTCCTTTTCAAAGGAAACAGAAGTGTGGCTTTTACTATGGAAAATTTTATATTTGCTTATAAAGGAAGACACACAAAAAAGTCAAAATAGCTGTGCTATGGTAGTGGGATTACATACACTTTTTCTCTGTTTAAACTTTCCTTTTTATAATACATTACATAACAATAAATGTGGACCAATATAAGAAAGCAAGAGATCTTCATAATCAAAGTGACACGAATACAAGGAAACTCTCCACTCATTAAGCCCCCAAGCACTGAGAACCTGGCAACATGCCGACCACGTTCACTGGGAGTACCAATGCCTTCAAGACATTCATGTTCTCAGGACCTAAGCATGAAAACAATAAATTCTAATACTATATAAGCGTTTGTACTATGTTGTCATGACCTGCCAACAAAATCCAGCTCAAACTAGTTCAAGTAATGAAAGAGAATTCACTAGAAAGACACTGGGATGGCTCACAAAAATCCAAAGAACTACAGGACTCAGGATCACATCCTTTCAAGCCTACCACCAGAGGAGAAAAATGTTCCTCTCCCAGCTTCAGCCTGAAAACCACAGACAATTGTATCTGATTGTCCCTACCTGGTTTATCCACCAGCCCCTGGAACAGCTCTGTGACCAAAGGGGCAAGACTTTTATCAAAAAAAGGGTAGGGTAGGGATAGAGGAAAACACTGGCCCTAGGAGTAATCCTTGTTTTGATACCCAGCAAAACCAGGTATGAATAGTATCTTTCCTGTATAAGTAAAAGGAAGGCTATTAAGCTAATTAAGGTAAAAGATGCATAGCAATTTGTCAGATGGATAAGTGGAGACAAACACTCGAGGCAAAGGGACAGCATCATGTTAGCTGTCTTTCATCCTACAGGTAGCAGGAATTTTTTTAAGTGGGGGGCAAGGGTGCAGTGGACTGTTAGAGAATGACAGGCATGATCTGTTCAGTTTATTGTTTTTTAAACAAGACAATAGGAAGCAAATAGATCCTGGCTGGGAGAAGAGACGGAATATTCAAGATGACAGGTTATGACAGGGCCAGAAACACCGTGGGGAGGAGGAAAGGTAAAAAAGCCCTCAGCTCAAACTTGTCTGAAAATTTTTCTTTTCCCCTTTTTTACACCATACGCAGCCACAAAAACAAATCCTTTATTTCAGTATTACATTATCCAACCAATTATAGTAAGTTGCAAAAATGGGATCGGATTTAAGGCATTTTAAATGACAAAACAAACACTGTCTGCCAAATGATCTTTCAAAACAGAAACACTTAATATAAGAAATTCCACTGTGCTGCACAAAGGTTCAAAGCAGCAAAGCTCATTTTAACTTTGATGCGTAAACCAAATAATCACCTTTTACCAGCATGCTCAATAGGTTTCCTAGCAATCCAAAGTATTTCTCCCAAGTACATTTCGTCTTTTCAGTTCCCTTCTAGTGTTCTGAATTCTTTGGCTTAGCTACTGGCTATAAATAGGATATTTGGTGATTTGTTTCAACTGTGTTCTCTCCCAAAAACAGGCACAGGCAGAAACACACACACACACCCTGAATTCGAAAAGTACTCAGTTTTTATTCTTTAATCTCCTTCTTTTTATGAAGCTCAATCTTAGATGATGTAAATGATTACCTACCTGCATATTCATAGAACCATTCTAAGCACCTCTTACTTGAAAAGGCTTCTTCTTCGGTCTTTATTCTAGTTGAATCGTATTTTCTATACATGCTAGAAATTGAGAAAGGAGTTTTAAGTTATTTAAAGTAAAGATACTGAGTTTTTTTAAATAGCAAATAGTTTTTATTCTTTTACCTAAACAGACATCTATTCAATCGGTATTTCATGTATATTTACAATATTTCACTTCTTTCATTTGGAAGCTTCAGCTTTTATAACTGTAGCTTTAAACATAGTCATATCCAATATAGAATTAAATGGTAAGCACTTAATACAGGTTTTTCTTTGACAAACAAATAATTAGTAAGAACTGAACAGAACAAGTATCTGATATACTCCCTTCTACCTCTCTAGCCAGAACTAGCTAGAGAACGATTGTGAGATACAGCAAGAAATGTCTATGGTGCTTTCTTCCACTGATGACCCTAGATCTCACTCGTGTCTCTGCATTAAGTTCTCCAGACTCCTGTGTCATACGGGTCAGCCTGGGCACAGAGCACAGTTTAAGGATGAACCTGGCAATATCAGACATCTCCAGGGAACGTTATAGCAAATTAAAAAAAACATCAAATTATGTCCAAGGCTCCAGGAACAAAACCTCAGGGAAAAGAAATACAGAGAAACCCTGGCTTCTGCCCTCTTCTCATTACGCCCTAGGACTGTGGAAATGCTGCATAGCATGGAGAAATGAAGCAGCAAGCACAGCGGCCTCCTCCTGCGACGCAAGGACCCTCCGCAGGGACTCCTTACTTCATGATGACATGGGGCTGAGAACCAAGATACTCCCTACTTGAGGAGGGGAGAGGCAGTATCTTTAAAACCATGGTTTTGATAGAGTAAATTATGAGTATATACTTTTTTATCCCTTATTTATATACAAATGGTCTAAATAGTTATATACATAAACATTTATAAATGTGGTTTTTATTTACATAGCATAGAAAATAATACAGAATTCTTCTTAAATGAGCACTTATTCATGACCTAGACATTCACCAGAGTATCTGTATATATTGCTGATTAGAGATTCGGAGCTTTAAAAAAATGGTCATAGGGTATTAAGATACTGAAACTGCAAACCATCAGCTTTGTATTTCTTTTATAAAAAAGTAGCCATACCACCTGGAAACAAAGGTGGATACTGGCCAGGGCTCATACAGATATGTTCAAATCCTGGGCTTGGACATTCCAATCTCAGCTCAAAGTCTACTACCGGTCAATAACCTGGAGACCTATATATGACACTGTAATGTTTGAATTACTTAAAAATTCTCTACATAAAAAAGGATAAGGAAATAATATTCAGCAAATAAAAGACACAAAATACTAACACATACTTTTACATATATGGATGAACCTCAATAAAAGGATGCTAAGTGAAATAAGAGAGGCACAAAAAGACCATTTATGTGAAATGCCCAGAAAAGAGAAATCCACAGAAAGTAAATTCGTGGTTGCCTGGGGCTGGGAGTAAGAACAGGGAGTAAATGTATATGGGCATCAGGGCTCACACTGGGCTGAATTGCAGTGATGGCTGCACAACTCTAACAACTTAGTAAAAAATCACTGAATTGTACACTTAAGATTGTGCACGCTGTGGTATGTAAACAGTTGTTTTTTAAAAAGACCGAGAATAAAACTCAGATAATGCTAAGCTCCCCATCCCTTGGATGACCACTAAAATGCTCTCAGTAGTAGTACCTCACGCCCTTCTGCAGTTCAGCTACCGGGTTTCAGACTGGCTTTTATCATGCTAAATGATGCTAGGCTGTGGTGAAAAAACAGTAAGTGCTCTATACAATCATGCTATGTGACTGTTAGAATTTAACAATTTCCTGATAATCACATCTACACATCAAAGCTGAATCACTAGTCTAAACATTGTTGGTGATTATCTTTTAATCACTGCTATCTTCTTTCAGGTACTATTTCCCGCTCATTGGAAATATGAACAGTGACATGACTTTCACATTTCAGAGTCCCCCTCTCTATCCCTGCGAGAGCTGTAGCATATGAAGTATCACAACAGGAAAGAAGCAGAAAAATCTCATCCAACCCCCTCGATTTATCAGTGTGGTAATTCAGGCCTCCTAGTGAAGTGAAGTGACCTACTGAGCCGAGAGGAGGAAGATGGGAAAAGGCTGGAAAGATGAAAACGATGCTGTCTGGTCATTGTTTGAAGGAAAAGAAAGAAAAGAAAAGAGAGAACCAAAAAATGGCTATTAAAATCAGGGGGAATCAGTAAAGATGCCTAAAATAAAGTTTAACAGGCCCGGGGAGTTACCAAAACTAACAGTTCACTTGTCTGAAAGAAGTGATCTCAACAGTTTTGTTTTTCATGGTTTCAAGCAAATTCTCGCTCTTCTGAGAATAAACCTCAGCTCGACTAATAATCCAGGCAGGCTTAGAGCATTCGGTACAGGCAGCTCTCCCCAGCCACTCGGACCCGGTCCTTGCCAGCTATGGGACTCCCGTGCGACCCTCGTCAAGAACAGATACATGCAATCCTGAGGTCCTCAGCAGGCACAGACCGCAGGCCCTTAAAAGGAAAGAAACTCTACACCAGTTTTAGTGGATCAATGGACTACGATAAAACTTGAATTTATCAGAACTCAGATGACCTAATTTGTTTTTGTTTCATAAACCCACACATTAAATAAGTACCACGAAAGAATTACACTTTTAAAGTCTGCCTGGCCAGGACCACAGCAATATTCTAGCTGGCACTTGGGCCTGGCCAGAAGGGTGCCTCTCAGGCATGCACGCCACCATTCCAGATGCAGGGTCTCTGCCACGTACCTATCGTGTCTGCTTTTCTTGGCAGATAAGTCATCTCCAGAGGCAGGTCTTCTCTTTTTCCTCGGCGGCATCACTTTACTAAAGCAGTCCGAAGAACTGCAAGACCGCAGACTTCCTACAAAACAGGGTCGAAGAGCACAAAAGTCAGGAGTGCCACGTCGAAACCCTTCCGCGGGACATCACTGCTAAAGGAAAAGCGGCCGTGGCTTGTACTGCAAAGAGTTTAGATGTTATCTACAAATGCTGTAAGGTGAAAAAGTGGCTTTTAGTTCCTCTTAGAGAAAATGTTACGGTCAAGAAATAAACCTAGCAATGACACAAATAATCTATTACCCCCCCCAAAAAAACCCACACCAGAAATGACAGTTATCATAACTTCAGTTTACTCTCCAAAAATGCTAATATAAATCTTCTACACTTCCAGCTTCTTTTACATGTCAATGCTCCTTCAAAAGGAATTGTGCTGCTATCGCGTTTCCATAACTCATTAAGCAAGGCCAGCTTGACTGGTGACCTTGGACCTAAAATACATACAAACACATCAGTCCCAACATTCTTAAGCTTCAAGGCATATCTGATTTTTAAAAAACAAGATTTTGATTTTTAGGGCAAAAATCTGACACGATCTTGAGCAAAATGACCATAATCATTTTTAGTTTTGTTTCTGCCACTTGAAGGAAATTCTGCCACTTCTGGTCAGGGTTTTCAGAAGCACAACTTTCACCTGGTAGAAGGTATTAAAATGTAACAACAACAGACAATAATAGCATGGAACACTTACTGAGACCTTACCATGAGCCATGCCCTGTTCTTAACACGTATGAACTCACTGAACCTCATAACAAGCTTATGAAAGAAGAATAATCATTGCTGGCTGTGCAGATAAGAAAACGGAGGCAGAGAAAGGTCAGCTAAGTGGAAAAACTGGAGTTCAAACCCAGACAGTCTCACTGTCTTAAATTGTTATAAATTACAAGACAATTATAAGATAATTAAAACATCCCATCTTGGCACAAGTGCTATCAGAGATAATACGTCAGTTGCTTCCCACAACCACCCTGAATGACAGGCAGGCAGAGATAATTATCTCTACTGACAGACGGGAAAACTAAGACTGAGGCTCTCCAAGGTCTCAGAAGTGTTAAGTGGTGAATTCTGGACCGCACGTCTCTCCTACTTCCACTGGCCCCTGGTGCAAGACGCTAGGCCCTCACTGAGCCACAGGATGAGAGAGCACTGGGTGCTGGGGTGCGTGATCTGCACCCAGTGAGCAAGTTCCAGCTATTCACCTTACTACAGGCCTCCGTCAGGCACTGACTTATTCTGGGTCTCCAGTTCATCATTTGAAGAATCTACCTCTATGTCATCTGGGATATCTACCTCTCAGGAGTTTTGTGAAGAAGAGACATCCACTTGATGAGTGTTCAGGTGCACGTAGGTAGGTGCTGGACTCTGATGCCACGCTGCGGGTGTGAGCTCGGGCTGAACCTCAGTGCTCACTGGATCCTCACACCCACCCTATGGTGGAGGTGTTGTCTGCGTCCCCTATTTTACACATGAGCAAACTCAAGCAGAGGGATGGACGAGCAGCTGGAAAGCAGGAGGTGAAGTTAAGGAAGGAACCTGAGCTGCCTGGCAGCAAGGCCCAAACTCCTGGCCATCTCCACGTGGCCCTGACAGCAGAGACTGAGAAGCAGGGACCCGAGGCCAGAGCCCCGGGGAGTGTCGACATTGGGGCTGGGAAGGAAGGGGAAGCCCGAGGTGGGGAGAAAACCTGAGCCAGTGTAACCAAGGGAAGTCAAGGAGGAGAGAGCACCGGGGGCGGGGGGGGGGGCGGGGGCGGGTGGTCAGCCACACAGGACAGGGCTGCCACTCCTGTGCACCCCGCCCCTCTCCCCCGTGGGCGACAGCCCCGCGTACACTGAGGCACACAGAAAGGTCTGGACAGCCACCCACAGACAAGACAAGATTCCTTCCTGTCCCTAATGCCTTGGGGTGGGGCCTGCGGAATGAGAAAGTACGTCTTGCCTTACCAGAGGCAGTAACCCCTCCGTCCGCCAGTGTTAGCAGAACGCAGAGGAAATGCACTTTTCCCCTCAGCCCGTGGGAAGGCGGACAGTATTTAAAACAATGCCTTCACCAACATTCACCAGTAAAGATCAATCCACCAGCTCCTCTACTATTTGTCTCTCCACAGAAACACCGGTACTACGCCTGGCTCTCACTGACTCCTACCCCACAAGAGAGAGTATGTCTCCGGCAAACATGCAAACATCCTAAGTTAACTTTTTCAGTTTTTTTTCCTTACTGATGAACGCTTTCTGTTAAAGTTTCCCGAATCACTTTTCCTGATGTCTGTGTAAAACTTACTCGTATTTTAGCCCCAAATTATCCCACATTTGGCATTTTATTTTCATTTATTCCCATGGCATTTGTTCAGATCCCTCCACTCTAACCTGCCATAATAAGCAAGTGACTGCTAGGGGCATCTTTCACAATGAAACAGTGTCTTCTCATCCCAGTGACCATTACAGCTCAGGTACCACTGGCTCACTGACCTCTCACCCCTCTCCCAGGAAGGATGAGTCTAAGTCATACCCCAGTGAAGGTCCAAAGGACGACAGAGCACAGCTCCACAGGGAGAACCCTAGGGCCCAGCATGACAGTGAAAAGTTTCAGGCTACCTCAAAAGCAATTTTTTAACGTTGAGGAAAACAAGTTTACTTCAAATAATTTGACAACATGAACCAAGTCAACAAAAACACACAGAGGGCACACAACTCAAGGCCTGGTGGCCCGAAACCTGCTCCCCCACCCCCAGCGTGGCTCTAGGGAGCCTACCTGAGCAAGAGCAACAACTCGGGTCTTTAAGTTCATGCACGAAAGTACACCTGTTTGTAGGCCCCGCCTGGCTCACCTGTGCAGACGGAGCAGCTAATGCAGCATCTTACCACGGTCATAATAAGACACACGCATCACTAACAGTCCTACGGTCAACCTTCCAAGAATAGTTTTTGAATAAATGTGTTCCTAAAACATTTATTCAAAATTTGTGTCAATCAAATTCTGCTCAAATCAGTACACTTCCATTGATCTGAAACCCCTATGAATAGATAACACATCACCATTTCAGATTTTTCCCCCCATTCGTCAGTTAAGGCAAGCACTCGACTTTAAGTTTCCTGGCAGGTAGGATTTTCTTTTATATACAAATATTCAAGAATGTTTGCTTCTTAAAATAACTCTGTGATGTCTTTATAATATAAACACTTAAAGCTAAATGAATGTTTTACAAATCTGTACTTATTTATATCATTAAATTTAGACTTTACTGACTCAAAACTTGCATTACTTTATCTACCCTTTATTTTTAAACTAAAAAAAATTAAGTAAGCAAGTAATATAAACAAGACTGTTATGGAATGTCTACCTGCTTCAAAGAATAAGCTATTCTAACTCACTAAAAATATCTACTTAGGCACAAACAAGCTGACATTACAGATAGAGACAAAATATTAAGGTTGACATTTTAAAATAATAACTACAAAGCACTTTCAAAGTCATCTTCACAAACCTAAGAGGTGTTATTACCAACCCAATTCTACAAATAAGAAAACTAGCCGATCAAGTTGAGCACCTAAAGCTCCTATTCAAATAAATACTTAACAAATATAAGCGATTTCCTAATGAACTTTAAGAAACCCGAAATTAATTTAAAATAATACGGCTGCAAGTTTTCAATCTTTGCCAATCACCCAAGAAAAACAGTGGTGAAAAGACTTCAGGGATCCATCTACATTGCATCAGAAACATCTTATGAAAGAGGGAAAGGCTTTTCCTATATAACAGAGAAGTGGGAAGAGGAAGAGACAAATCACCCCAGCTAGTAAACCCAACTAAGACCCAGGCTCCTCCGTGTTACTGTGCCAGGTCTTCGGTGCTCAGTCTGCAACATCCCTACATTAGCTGGACAGGGACTCTGAAATCAACCTTCCCAACTCCCCCATCATTAGAAGCTCTTTCTTGATGCAGAGGTGTCTGTATGATCCTCAGGAAGACAAGACAGATTGTTTATATTTTTTACCCAAAGGTTAGGACTTGCGTTCAGGTTCATTTCTTTTTGGTTCAATGTTCAAAGAGAACAAATAAAGTATTTTAGTAACTGACAGTATTTTCAAGTAAACCAGGTAGTCAATGAATATAACTATTCTCCCCACATTAAACAACTAGAAATACTGCCAACATTTTTATCATATCTATTCTAATATTTGGTCCCAGAAAAATCAATTTTAAAGAGCAATTTGAGTTCACCTGGATCAGACTGAAGGCCTTTTAATACCTATGCAGCTGTTTTGATAATTTAACTAAGCATGTTATTCTTAATAAACAGTATATCTAAGTAGGTGTGCCACTACTTTCTTTTTTAAAAAATCTTTTTGCTTGTGAGCCTCAAGTGAAAAAAAAAGTCCTGTGCAGGATTCATTTCCTTTAAGACATATTAAATTGTGTGCCAAGTTTCTAATCATCCCCAAATAAGAGATCTATACAATTAGAAAATTTTTCTGACTTTCCTGAACTTAGTATAAATGCATATTCCAATACAAAAATCTCACTAATTTTCATTTTAATGAGTCTGTTGTATCATATAGCCTTAATTCACTTAATAACATTTTATATGGTACACTTTGCCACTTCAATACTTTTCATACAGCTATTTCACCTTCTTTTTCACTGAACAATGTCACAAAGACATAATAATTTAAGTTGATAAATAGGTTGCATTTTAAGACATCTTATCAGTACCTAATATTTTATTTCAATTTCCTGAACAGATCACTGAACTACTTGCTTGCTTGAGTAAAACTATTAGTGTCTAAATATGCAATTTTTATCCTACTGTTTGAGACCAAAATACTTCCTTTCCTTTCTCTCTAAATAACACTGACTTTCAACAACTATCATCCTCCTTCATCATGTTTTTTTGGTCCTCTTTAGCTTTTTAAGTTCACTCCCAGTATTTTGGGCTACTTCTCCAATATTAACCTACACGCTCTCTCTCCTTTTTCCCCCTCCTTTTTTTTTTTGGTGGGAGGAAGACGGAAAGCACCAAAGAAAAGTGTTAGAGGAGACAGAGCAGGAAGACACTGGCCTCTTTTGCACTTGGTTTGGCTCTTCCATATACAGTTGTTATAGAAACTCTCAGACTACTGTTGAGCCAAGAGATTTGAAGAGGCACTACAGTGATGAACTTTCTCACATTTCCAAACATTAGAGATCTATGTTGTTTAACTTTTAAAGTATACTCTGTCAGGTACGGGGATCACAAGTGATGCTGTAACCAGATGGAGGAACATTAATGAACTGGACTACTCTACGAAATTACTAATGCTAACTGACATTGACTGGCACGTCCGAGGTACCAGGCGCGGCGCCAGCATGTCGTGCACCAAACACCAGACATGTCCACCGTCCCCAAGGGCGGAAAAGGAGGCACGAGGCCAAACACACTCTCCACTTTCATCTTCCTTAATGATAGCTTACAACTATTAAACTGCCACATTCAGGTTAAATATTTAGATATGAAATTACTATCATAACAACACTCATTTAAATCCAAAGCTCAACGTTCACTACGTAACGTATGAGACTCAGAACCCTGATGTTTTATTACCTTAGCCAAGGGAAAGACAACCCAAAGCCTTTACAAATACAAAATTTGGTTTTAAAAAAAGTCAAAACTACACTAACTCTGAAGTTTAAAAAAATCTCCAGTGCCTACCAATATACTGTTTCAGAATATGAGAGAACTGCGTTTTTCTGGACTATTAAAACTGGCACTGAAAATTATGTTCAGCATTATTGGTAGTAGCTAAAAGTTACACACACTTAAATATGGAATAGAAAATCAAGCAGTCATTAAAAAATAAAGCTTTATAAATGTGCTGCTATGAAAAGATCTCCAAGATATACTGACAGAAACAAGAGGACAACACAAATGTACACTTGTACTTGGGGAAAATATATCAGTGTCATCATCATTCAGGAAGCAAATACAAGAGCCTAGGAGTTGTGTCTGGAGAGTCAAGGGTGGAGCGCCAGCGGGGACGGGAGCTAGGGCTCATACAACGGGACAGAAGCCTCCACTGTCTGTTTACACCTCTCACACTTCTTTTAAAACCATGTGAACAAATCACTTTCAAAGTTATTAAGGAAGCTGTTTTTGACTACCTTTGAGCTGACCTATATTTACTGAAACAGAAAGATCAGGTGAAGGGACCCTCTGCAGCCTGGCCTTCTAGAACACACTCGTCATGGTCTCTGCCCCCTCCGCTCACCCCCTTCCCTGGAAGGAGTGGAGAGTCCGATGTAGCTCGCAGTCCGGCAAGGAGGAACTGAGCAGAAGGGCCCAGCCCCGGCTGAACTCCCTTTCGGATCAGCTGGCCAGCAGAAGCTGACACCCTTCCTCTGTCATTAGTGGGGAGTTTGAGGCGGGCCAGCAAGAGGGTGGTGCTTAACTACTTGTGGCAGCATCTAAGGCTATTTAATTCAGGTGAAATACTGAAAAGCCTCTGCATTTTTTGCTGCTCATCCAGGCTGTTTTCCAACAAAACTGTTACTTTAATCTCCATCTTGTGCCTGAACCCATCTGGAGGGGAGGGACAGGTCTAGATCCCAACAACCTCCAAGACATACCATTAAATAAAAAATTAAATGAAAGAACAGTGTTACATCGAATGTACAGTATGAGCTCATTGATGCTAAATTTAAAAAACCCACTACTATAAAAATACATGCAGGTACAAAAATGTCTGAAGGAACAAACATTAAACGGCGTACCAGGGGAAGACTGGACTGGGAGCCGTTTAGGAGGACTGGCACTTTTTATTCCATTTGCTTTTGTGCTATTCACAACTCTCTAACAAGCACGTATTCATATATACCTGTGGTATTTTTCAACAAATTTAAAACACATTTTAACAATTCTTCCTAGAAATTTTCATAACTACAGATCAAGTGCAAGTTTCTGAACTTCATGACCATCAACGGTTTAGAGAAGGGGTTCTCACATTGTGGCCCCCAGACCAGCTGCATCAGCATGGCCTGGGAGCCGGTGAGGAATGCAGGCTTTGGGACCCCAGCCCAGACCTCCAGAGTCAGGAACTGGGCGGGGGGGGGGGTGGCAGAGCCTAGCAACCCGTTCTAACAAGCCCTCCCCAGGCAACCATGATGCCAGCTGGAGTCTGAGAACCAAGGGGCTAAAGAACTGTTTACAATAATCAACTTGCAATTTTCCCATTCAGAAATCCTCACAACCTACACAACACACACACACACCCCTCCCTACCTGTCAATTCATTTTACATCTCAATTCAACAAACATCTATGGAATACTTTTCAACTGCATTACAGTAGCAACTTTTTGGTATTAACTAAAATACTTCAGTAGAGAAACGGTATCTTAAAACCACTGAAGAGAATCCCTAGAGGTTTCCCTTTAAAGGCACTGAAGTTCTCTGTCCTAAACCAGAACTGCTTTCCTGGTGGGAAGGAGCTGTAACATGGCTGCCTTCATACACCCTGAAAAACATCCTCAACCGAAGTAACAACTTGTTAATGGAATGTGCTGTAATAACACAGAGCATTCTCAGCTGGCGTTTCTCCTTCATAACTTTATATTAGGAAGTTTATTTAAAATTAAGTAGTGTTAGCATTTACAGATACCTGTTTGGTGATCGTCTTGGCCAACGTCTTCTGTTAGATTCTGCAAGAAATATGTTCATTATTACCAAGAAATCACACATATCATGCAGCAAATTTAAAAATTCAGTATTTTCATAAACAGCCAATATCGTAATATCCATAATTTAAATTTTTATCAAATACACTTAAAACAACTACTTTAAATAGTTGGTAGTTTGTCTTTAAAAGATTGACTTACTAGCTTATTAAGGGTGTGGTAGATCTTATGAATATTTGCCAGTGTTGAGAGATGAGAGTTCAACTGAAAGTCTTTAAAAGAAAAAATGGAAAATTCAGTGTCATTTATTTCCCATACTGCAAAAAGACTATTAAAAAAGAGTTCAGAAGTAAAGATAAACACATGTTTTGATACAACTGAATACTATCTCCACTGATACTTAATAAATAAGATACAACATGCAACTACCAACCTCTTAGAAATAGTCTAACAATAAAGTTAAATTCCCAACCAAATGTTCAAGTTCATGAAATGTTCATGTGAATTATAAGGTAAAACAAAAATACTTCAGTAGTTATAATATCCTATGAGCAACGAAGTTGAGCCTGATAGAAAAGTATCAATGTCAGCAAATTAAACAAGTCACACAAATGGAAGACAGATCTCAAATGAAACATGTTCACTTTCTCTTTCCCTTTCTCTTCTCCAGAACCAAGCACAACATCAAGCTTCTGGAAAGAAATAATAGGAAAGCATCTCAACCATTCAGCATTTCTTACAATATACTCATTTTGTTGGCTCTTATACAACTAAGCAGAAAGGGAATCTAGGCCCCTCCCCCTGCTATTTAACAAGACGGACAGATCAAAGGACTCAGCTGCAAGCAGCCAGTGCCCTGTGAGGGAGTTTATAGTTATCTGCACTGCGATAGTAAAACGTGCCGTAGAACCAGAAGCACAAGGGCAGAGCTCACACTCACGGAGAAACAAATCAAAGACTGTCTCCACGAAGCATCTCTAATAACTTCAGAGCTGCACACCAAGTCATACACACAAGACGAATTAAGTTGCTCTGTCTTACAATCCTGCACAACATTAAACTTTTAAGTTAAAACGTTAGACTTTTGAATCTCCAATTTCAAATTTTTTTTATAAAGTTAAGTATGCTTGCATACATACTAGGCTATGTGAATATGAGTTAAAAGTCTATGAGTAATTTCATATTTGAATAAGCATCAACAGAGATATTTTCATAAAATCAGGATTTATATTAGTTCCTTTTCTTTACTATCAAAAAGATTAGAAAGGATTAGTCTGAAAGTAACCTTGAAAAGATACTCTAACTCTCAAAGCTATGCCATTCTGATAAAAAAGAAAAACATTGCCCCTCACTGGAATATTTTATTCGGGACACACATCAGATGCAAAGAGCAGACACTACAATTTTCAAGTTGCCTCTGCTGGGGCTGGACTCAGGGCTGCTGCTCCAAATCTGGAAAGCAAGCTGACTTGCCTGCCAGTATTTAGAAAGCATCGCTTTCTTTTCTAAGTCGAGCCAGGAATCCAGGTCTGCGCTGGCCTGGAGGGCAGACGGGCCAGCAGGCAGCAGAGCCCCTGACATCCACAGGCCACTGTCAGGAGCAGCAGTCGTCCAGGTACACGTACACGTGCATGTATCCAGCCGGCCCAGAGGGAGCCTGTGGCCTGACACCACAGGCACAGCCATCAAGAAAGGTCCAAAGAAGCAAAGTGTTTGGCTGAGAGATAACCAGGGCAGGGCCTCAAATACAGAAGAGTGTCAATTATTTGGCATCTGAATGGTCTAGCCATATTGAAGGTAAATGATAACATAATGTGCACAGAACCTTGAGTTTCCATGTTAATTAGTGCACTTGCACAGAAAAAGATTAAAAAGCATGTGGGGTGTTTGGGTGCACATATGTGTGTGTATTTATTTACTTATGCTTGTATTTCATAAACCTGGAAGCTGGGTAGGGGGCTCTTAAACTAGAAGCAACAGCCCCCTCCTGACCTGCAAAGGCTTTGGGGAGCTTAATCTTACACCACCCCAGCCCCTGGCATCTACCACCAAGCCATAACCCACCTTTTGTATTCTCCCAATTTAAAAACTGGAAGACAAATGGTATTCTACATTCACATCTTGAAATATAAACTCCTGGGCCCCCCAAAAAACAAAAACAGAAAACTTAAGGGTCTAGATCTCTTTTCACTGAGGCCACATAGAAGGGAAAAGAGAAAGGGCTTGTCAAATATCATTGTAGCAGTGAGGTCTCCAGAACCCCCTAATGTTAATTCAACTGTCAAAATTCATACAGGAGAATCTAAACGAATTAAAATTGCTAAATTCTTCTACACACACACAGGATCTCTGCCACAATATCACTGTGTTTTACAACCTGACTCTGATGTCTAACAGTTTGAACTGTTACTCAGGTCTACCAGTTACTTAACCTAAATCTCAATGTCCTCATCTCTAAAATAAGATTACAATACCTACATGTGGCAAACAGTGAACGTAACACCTGGACCATAGTATGTGCCCAATAAAAGATATCAATTATCACTCTATTCAATTATACTATTTTCCATACCACAGAGCTATCTACAACGGTCTCTACTTTCTGTAGGTCCAGGTCAAGCCCCACATCAGAGCTGGAGCTTCCCCTGTGACTGAGGCCCATGGGCTGATCATCTCTACAGCCTATGATGACATTTCTGCAGTCACACATCACCCATTGATGTTCATAATGACAGTGGGAGATAATCTCAACAGTGGAGAAAATAAACAAAAGCATTTAAGATCAGGTTCTGTACGTGAAGTTTCACTTTACAGGCAACCAGAGTAACCAGGTTCATGTCTCAAGCCACACAATATATGTCAGCAATTCTCTATTTACATATCCGGGGTCTAATACCATAACCACCTTATCATTTCACCAAAAAAAGAGAGAGAGAAGGAACTAGCAACATGAATATTTTTTCTTTAGTTTCACCACGGTAAGACATGAAGAAGGAGACAGATTCAGGGGGGAGAAAAGAGACCAAAACGGCATTAAAAGATAAATCCACAAAGGTTAACATATATTGAATTTATGGTTCATCTGCTCAGTGCTCAGGGCAAGTAACAGACCTTGAAATCTAAAATAGATTCCACATCCTTAAGGAATAAATGTTAAGGGTAAAGATCAAATGCTTTACAGAGAACGTATTTAGGAAAGTACTAACTGATTTATAAAAATCTCCTGCTCACATCTCAACTCTAGAGGATAAAAGCTCGGTTAATTCAGTCCATGATCAAACGGCCCTCCACAGTAAAGCAGTGACTGGGCTGGACTCTCCTGTGTGACACGCAAACTGTACATTCTGCACTAAGAGCAACAAATGGCTCTGCAAAAAGGCACAGCCTGCATGATTAACAGCTTGCCTTAATGATCCTCTGGGTGTTCTTAAAACGACCAACAAGTGCTGACTGGGCATAAAGTCTTCTCGGTTTTTGGGGGGTCTGTTTTTTATTACCATTTGCTGTACCTAACAGTATAATAGAAAAAAGCGAATGCCACTGAAGAGGGTCAAAGTCCATTTCCCCCAAGCTACCCTCAGTACAGAATCCCACAGTACAGACAGAGACATATTAGGAATAAAACAATTATTGGTAAGTTCACACAATGACCATGAACCAAAAGAAGCAAATTTAAAAATTAACAGTCCTAATAGGAGTTTACTTCTGTAAGAGAGTCAGAAACAATTTAAATACATAAAAATCCGAACCTTTCCTTCATGCCATAGTCACTTGTAAAATACAGCTGGAAGGTGATTTCAGTTATGACAACAACAAAAGGCAATAATACATGTAGGAATAATGCAACATCCAAAAGAAGAAACAGTACAAGTTTACCAAAAGACATAAATGCTGAGATATTATATCCCTGGAATGGAAAGATTCAGTATTATAAAGCGATCACTTCACCCTTTATTAAACTGCAAGTTAAATGCAACCAAATGCCTATTCTCCCTGCCTCCTTGTCCCCTAGCCCAAAAGAAGTAGAGGGAAAGGAAGGGAGTCAGGCAAGCTTGGCAGATTGATTCTCAAGTTCACCTGAAAGAACAAATATGCTTGACTTGCCAAAAAATTGTTGAAAAAGAAGAATGAGGAAGAACTTGCCCCATCAAATATCAATATGTAATATAAAGCAGAGGTTGGTAAGTTCTCATGGCCAGATCTTAAATATTCTAGGCTTTGTCGGCCATAACATCTCTGTTGCAACTTCTTTGCCATTGAAGCTCAAAAGCAGCCATAAACAATACATAATAAACAAAGGGATGTGGCTGTGTTCCCATAAAACTTTATTTATGAAAAACAGGTGGTGGGCTCAATTTGGCCCATGGGCTGTAACTTGCCAATGCCTGGTATAAAGATCCAGTAATTTTAACAGTATGGTACGTGTGCAAGAAGACAAGTCAGTGGAAGAGAGCTAATAAATATACGTCTGCATGCATGCCTATATGTTTGTATGTATGTATAAACACACATATAATTAGTACATGATTAAATGGCATTTCCAATCAGTGGGGAAAGAGATACTTATTCAGTAAACAGAGGAGAAACTAGCTACCATGTGGAACAAATTAAAATTAATTCCAACCTCACCCAAAAGTTACAGATGAAAGGCGAAGGTATTCAAGGCAAAAGAAAAGTCCTTATCATGGACTCAGGGCTCTGCACACTCCACCTCTACCCATCTATCCAATTTCATCTCTTACTCGTTTTCCCCTCGCTCACTCTTCTCAATCACAGTAAGCTTCTGTTTTGTGGACACTCCAAGGATGCTCGTACCTCAGGGCCTTTGCACATGCTGTTGTTTTCTTTGTGTTGAGCTCTTTTTCAACTAATAATAACATGACTTGCTCTTGCACTTTATCAGGTTGCAATTTAAATATTACCTTCTTACGGAACTTTGCCAGATCCAACAAACAGGACCCCTTCTTCACTATCTATCAATCACTTCACCATGCTTTACTTCTCTTTCTGGCACTAGTATCACCTGATTTTATGTCATCTTTGTTTCTCAGCTTCCTCTTGTGTAGAATGTAAGTTTCATGAAGGCCAGAACTTGGTCCTGTACACTGTTGTATCCCAAGTACCTAGAGCAATACCTGGCACACATCGGGTGCTCAATAAATACTCAAGGAATAAACAAATGCAGGTACAAAGGCATCAAGACTTAAATCCAAAATGCTCAGGGCATCTCAGTGCATTAACACCATTAGATCTTCATTTGTGAGAAGCAGTA